CACAGTGTAGGCAGTGACAGAGCAAATTTCCCAGTGTTACAACTTCAATGTGCCTTAATTCTGATTTAGAAGGCCCTCTCCTAGGGATGGAAGATATTCCTGTCTTCATGTACATTTAGTCCTTGGCCTCTTTGCCCATGACTGCCAACAAAGGTGCTAGTTAGTGCCAAAGGCACCTGTCCACTGGGAACTGGATTGAGCCAACCAAAACATTTTGCATAGACCACTGAAAAATAACTACATCACTTGGTAACAACTTTCAGTCACAGCACTCTGGGCTACATTGGAACATATACGCCAGAGGTGAGAGGCTTAGTATCCAAATATTACATTGTCTCTGAGAAAGCTTTTTTAGTTCTCAGCATGGCTGTGGAATGGCTGCCAATTGGTACAGTAGCCTCCCTCAGAGAAATGAACAGCAGTGGATTTTGCAGATAAACTCAGTGGAGTTCCCAGAAGTCACTGTTAAAGGCCCATATTACACATATATTCAAGGATTTAAAATAGCTACAAAGGAACAATGCAGGACTCCAGACTTAGAAATGAAGGGCTAAAATAGTATTGCTTGGCTATATTTGGGAGTGGAATCAACTAGGTGAATGCTGAATCTAAGAGGGTTTTTGTTGGTGGTGTTCTCGGGTTTTATTTATTTATTTATTTATTTATTGGCTGAATAATGACCTTGCTGATGTTGGTCTTTCATTTATGAACTCATTCATATTATACCCAGGAGGTGCAAAGTGAACGCACTTGCATAGCAGCATGAAGTGGAATCTCATCAGCACACACAGCTACAGACATTTCCATTTGCTGTTGAAAAATGTATTCCTTTGAAAACAAGGGACCCACTTCACAAGTATCAGTATTATGGTACAGTGAATATTCCTTTAGTTAAGAATTAGAGTAACCACAAGGATAGTCACACACGATATTGGCCTGACAAAGTGCTAATTACACAGTCCAGGCCCAATTCTGCCCTTATGTACACTTGATTGCTTACAACACCTGATTACAATAGCAGTGGCACCTGTGTTCCAGCCAGCACAATTGGCCCTTAATTTATAAAACCTTTAAATGACAGGCACTTTTTGTTCAGAAGACGCAGGCTCTAGTCTCTTTTTTGGTGGAATCTAAAAATAATATTTACCTTTTACATAGCACTTTCAATCCACAGACTCAAAGCACTTTACTAAGAAAGGTAAATATTGTTATCTGTATTTTTATAGATGGGCAAACAGGGGCACAGAAAGGTGAAGTGACTTGTGCAAAGTTAGCAGCAGAATCAGCAACAGAACTCAAGTCTCCAGACTCCCAGTCCACTGCCCTATCTACTAGATCATAATGAGGAAGGTGGCTTGGTGCACAGGAAGTGGAAAGCTGCTGACACAGGAAGAAGGAAAGAGATGCACAAATGTGAGAGGAAACCACGGTTCATTCAGACTGGAGGAAAGGCAGGACACAATAAATAAGCAAAGATGTACTGGAAGAGATGGGCAGAAAGGTGGGCACAGTGAGTTTGTGCAGAGCCCTAAAAGTGAAGACAGAAAACAATGGTGGAATTCAAGAAGGGGATAACATGATCAAAGCAGCCGGAAGACGATGTTGGCTGCAGCATGAACTAGAAAAGGAGGAGATGGGAGTCGGGGAGACATGGCATACCGTAGTGTAGTTGAGAGATGTTGACTTGCATTTTGGTAATGGGGATTGAGAGGAAAGGCCAGCCATTTTTGAGATGTTGTATACGTGGCACCAAAAGAATCAGTGAGAGCCTGAATGTAAGAAGTTAAGGTTGTAAGGTTATAATAAAATAACAACAATAATATTTTGCACTTGTATCAGAGCACCTTCCATCAGAGGCACCTGAATGTGTCTTATAAACATTGGGGCCATTGGACTTACTCAGATGTTTTCAGTTTTTTTAAAATGGGACTTTTTTCTTGATCTTATATTCTGAAGTAATAACTGTACCTATACCTACACAAAAAAGTGTCAAATAAGCATTGGTAAACTATGAATTTTGTGATTTCTGCTTTGTGCCACTGTAAACTGAACACAAATTATTTCCTTAACACTCATTTCATTTCAGATGTAAAACAAAGTTTTAGAATAGTGATTCAGTTAAATCTTCATTCCAATAGTGATTCAGTTAGATCTGTTAGAATTTTTAAATATTTTTCCTTTTAAGTAAAGCAAACTGTATTTAATACCAATGGTGCTCTACAATTACAGGCACAGATATGAAATAATTGCAATTAAGTGTGAAATCACAGACACCATAAGTACTACAACATATTTAAAACAAACAACAAAACCCCTCAGTTTACTGGGGATAAAGGGAAATTAACATGGTACTAAATTGTAGCTTTCCATCAATTTTTTACATACGAAGACGTCTCCTCTCCAATTACTTGCTTCTTTGTTTAACTGGATAAAGGACAAGCGTCATGTACTGCCTTTGAGGTTAACTTCCGTTACTATGCTAGGATGCTGTGTTTGTGGATCACATGGAGGACACATTATTTTGACCTACATTCTACATCTATACCATTCTACACTTCCTTGTTTAGATACCTATTCTCTCTTTCATGCTCATTAGCAGCAATGCTCCAAAGGCTTCTTTATTCAGTCTCTTCTTGGCCCTTGTGGCATCTACCCTGTTGTATCTAAGGATGTTGTTATATCCTCCAATTTCCCACTGTTCACAAAGGGAAGCGTTCATCATTCCTAGTGCTTTGTTTTGGCTATTCGGGGATTTTTAAGGCCTATATAGTCTACTACATCCTCCATCCTCTTCAAAAATAAAATGCTATTCTCTTTTTAGCTTGTGAGCGACATCAGCTGTATCTTCACAGGGGATCAATGCCAACCACATTATAACCATTTTCTTATTTTTCTTTGAACACAACACGAAGTCGGATTTTAGATCAGAGGTAGCTACTTCATGTGGCCAAAATAAGCCTTCTTTTCAGGTTCAATATTGTAGCCCAGTTGTCTTCAATTGCAAGAATTCCCTGTGGGGGGACTTCTTCCTTTCTACTGCTGTTCACAAAAGGAAAATCTTCTCTTGTCACAAATGTCTGCAAGTGCTTTTAATACATCACCAGGTCTCCAGCAGACCTAGTTCTGGTTCACTGCTTTACTCCAGCCTGATAAAATCTGCTGAGATGCCTCCCTTTTCCATAAATACTGACAGTAGGCTAAATCTGTCACCTGTTCTTAGTCCCAGTCTTGCAAATTAGCTGGTGCCAACAGATATCATAGGCTGCTTTTAAGCAGTGTTTTATTTTCCTCAACAATCTTATCTCCACAGGTCTGCCCAAGAAAGTTTCCTCTACAGGATTCCATGTTATACATTGTTCATCCTTAAACATGCTGCCTTAAAAAACAAAACCAAAAAACTATGCATTCAAACATTCTACCTACCTAAGTTTGTCAGTCTTTTCCTTTTTCCTGTCTCCCCTACAGTTAATTCATTATAAACTGAACTGGGTGAATACTGGTAAAATTTACTCACCACCAAACTTGCTAATTTCAATTCACCATTCAGGCCCATCCTATCGACATCCTTGTCCATTCACTTTTGTGCAAACATTCAGGTTATGCCTTTCCCTCCACATACATGTTTATGGGAGGAGCTCTTTTATTCACATGAATATAGGAATTTGTGTATATATTCCTGATCAGATTGCTACCCTTTTAAACCCCTCTATTAGACTAGTTTTGTGTGCTTGGAAACAAAAGTGTTAGGAGGAAGGAAGAGAATGGAGGAGTAAGAAATCCAGTGATTTTCAAAGTAATAACTGAGTGATTATTCCTTGTGAGGAGCAGTGAGTAGGGGGGAAGACAATTTGAAGGAGGGAGAAGGTTTGAGTAACAGAAAAGCCTCTTGCCTGGAGACAGGTTGCATATGTTGCCTCCCCAGAATATGGAGCTTGGTGTATTCAGTGTTTGCAAATATCAAGGCAGAGGGATCAGTGTCAGGGGACAATCACATCTACCCCTGCTATGGAGCCTCGTATCTGGTCCTGCAACTACATGGTTATCCAGTACTGAACAAATATGTATGAACAATCACTGTTCTGAATGATAGCATGTCATAAAATGGAGGGCATTTTTTCAATTCAGGCATTTGGTAAATACATGAAACAGGATGTGTGTTGAATATAGGATTGGGAAGTTAAAAACCAGCTCCCTGAAACTCTTGGCCAGATTCCTGGCACTCAGGAAGGCAAATGAGCTGGACATGATCTAACCAGAGCATTCACAAATATGAACTTACCTGGACATGCACCACACAAAATTGCTTGGTGTGAACACGATGAGAAAAGTGAATGTAAAGTCTACTGTGTAACCAACAAATCTAGATTATATTTTTTCTCTTTCCTTAGGCAGGGAGGAGCTCAGCTATTTATAATGTTGGGTTCATCTGTGTAGCCAGATATAATTCTCTTCCTTGGACAAAACAGAAGTAGTAAAGATTTCAGATATTCTAACTGTTCTTAGGCCTGCTTATTGCCATGTTTCTCTCTCTCTAAAATGTTCCTCACTGCCTGCCTGAGAGAGCCAATACTCTGATGATTGTCTTAAAGCACTAGTCTTGTTTATAAAGGTTAGGCCATCCAATCAGGGAACAAAATGCATACCATGTGATTTAGGTGACCAATCACACAGCCTAAATAGCTAATTCCAAATATACAGAACTTGAAGGAACTATTGCTGCAAACACATCATTAAAACCCATAATCCCAAACAGGCTTGTAAAAACTATTTCACAAACAATTACAAACGACAAACAAATATGTAAATAATGTGATCAGTTTTTAGATAACTCATGAACAGAACAAGACGGGTAAAATCTGTAAGAAATCATTTGCAATGAATAATTCTAACGTTACTATTTACAAACAAAGTCAGATTCTTAATTCACTTTCAGGTTCATTGGGGTTAGCTTCTTTTTGTTCATTGTCATATTGCTGCACATCTTTTTTTCTGAGCAAAATCCCGCTGCCTCATTCACTTGAATATTATTGTTAAAAATAATGCTTAGTACTTACATAACATCATGCATTTCATCCAAAGGTCTCAAAGGAGAATATCATTCTTTGCCTTCAGAATTCATCTCAAGGTCCACATCTGCCATCACATGTACAAAAAAATAAATCAACATTTATTGGTTAGGCTCAGGAGCAGTTGGGAAAAATCATTTATTTAAATATTCAATTGCAAAGTTATATTATATAATACATTCTATATGTCTCCCTCTCCCTATCTTTGTAGGGCCAGATTAATGCAACCAGGACCCTAGGTGCATGCAAAATGGGGCTCTCCATGGCTCTGTCCCCATGCTGTGGCCCCACCTCTAGATGATCTGGTGGTCCCTTCTGGCCTGAAACTATGAATCTGTGTATGTCTACACTGCAGTTAAACAGTCATGTGTGCCAGTGTCAGCTGCCTTGGGCTTGAGTTGCAGGGCTGTAGAACTGTTGTGTAGACCTTTGGGTTCAGGCTGGAGCTCAGGCTGAAGTGGGGAGGATCCCAGAGCCTGGCCTCCAAGCCAAGTCTGAATGTCTACTCTGCAATTTTGTGGTCCCGCAGCCCAAGCCCCGTGAGCCCTAGTCAGCTGACATGGGCCAGCTGCAGGTGTTTAATTGCAGTGTAGAAAAACCCTCTATGACCCCACTCCTCACCCCTTGCTACCACCACCTCACGAGAGCTATCATGGAGTACTGGCAGTGGAACACACACAGAATCCTGAGCTGTAGTGTTATTAGGGGGTCTCCCAAACAACATATTTCAGATTTAACAATCCATACAAATAAATAAAACAGCTCATATGTCACGGAGCTATTGTTTCAGGCTGTCTGCAGACTCAGGCATATATCTCTGCAGTGATTACATTGGCCTCACATAGTCAAGCTTTTTTCTGCATGTGTGAGATTCTTATGCCAACTCTTGGCTCCAGGAACTGGGGCTCTGGATTCATGCTTATGCCCTAATTCAACCCTGCATCCTTCATGCATCACTTGTCTTTTCAGATTATAGTTTCTTTGGTTCAGGAACCACGTCTACCAGTATATCTGTACAATATCTAAAACTACGGGGCCCTCATCCAGGCCTCTGGGTGCTACCATAATATGTATTTAAACAATAACTATTAACAACATCCCCATTTTATGGATGATGACACTGAGGCACAGAAAGGTTTGAGCAACTTGCCAAGGGTCATGAACCCAGTTAGTGTCAGGGTTTCAGCTTTAGCTTTCAAATGAGTTTAAGTCATAGCCCACGTTGAACCCATTGCTGCAGTACAGTCTAGAGGTGACAAAATATGCATCATGGCTCTCCACCTGAGAGAAAGATTACAGGCTCCACCCATAGGGGGGTGAAGGCACATAGCTAATCTTGCATTTGCCAGGAAGCATGAAGGCTTAAAAAGTCTCTAACTTAAAGTGTTGTTGCAAAACAGGAACAGAAAGTCTCCCAAAAAACTGTAGCTTCAACAGGCTACCCCCACTGGATTCAGTGGGAGCTGAAGATGCTTAGCACCTCACAAAAGGCACTCAGCACTTTGCTGGATCAATCCCCGCATTCCTTAATAGTCATATAATGAAACAATGTACCGTGATGCATACCTGCAAGGAGAAAGCGTTGGTTCAGTGATGCTTTCTGAAGACTGGTTCTGGAGACTCACATTTCCAGATGGATCAAGGACACTTATTTTCAGATGCATTGCTCAAAAGTGCCTTAAAATAAAATGGACATTTTAAATAAATATGAACGCCTGACCAGATTATGTCACCTCCAGATAGTGTGTCTTCTGGCTACAGTTCTGTAGGGCAGCAGCTAGTAGCCCCCCTAAGTAGTCTACACAAAAAAGCTGTCCCATGCCAACAGACTCGGTCTTGTAGGGCCTGGGCTGTTTCATTGCAGTGTAGACTTCTGGGTTTGGGCTGGAGCCCCAGCTGTTGTACCCTTCCACCTCACAGGGTCCTAGAACCCGGGCTGCAGTGCAAGCCTGGAAGTGTACACTGCAATGAAACAGTCCTGCAGCCAGAGACCCACAAGCCCAAGTCGGATGGTGTGTGCCAGCCATGGGTATCTATTTGCTAGAGATACCCAAAGTTAGTTCAAAGTATACTGAATATACCCATCCCTATACATTTGTACACTTCTACTGTATCATGGGGAAGATGGGGAGTATGGTATAGAGGTTAAGTATAGGACTAAGAGTCCTTGGCTCTATTCCTATGTTTTACACTATCTGGCCTACCTTAGTCAAATTACATGGGCCCAGACCCTCAAAGAGATTTAGGAGCCCAACTCCCATTGTCTATCTAATACAGTATCCTGTCTCTGACAATTGCCATTAGCAGATGCTTCAGAGGAAGGTACAAGAAACTCCATAATCAACAATTTCAGAATAACCTGTCCACAGGGGATGACCTTCTTAACTATCACCAGTTGGCCATCTGTACTACTCAAAGAATAGTGGGTATATCAATACTTACCTACCTCACAGGGACATTGGGAAGCTTAACTAATATTTGTAAAGCACTCAGAGGTCTTAAAATGAAAAGCACTATGTAAATTCAAATAAAAAGAGTAGTAGTTAGAATTAACTTGTAGTCCATATTAATGGCCCTCCATGTTCATCCAGAGGATTGATTTTGATGTCACACCTTTGTAAATTAGAAGTAATTCCACTAAAGTCAATGATGGAGTTACACTAGTGTAAAACAGGTGTGAGATCAGAATTAGGCCCATTAATTCTAATTATGGTCTGGAAGTGAGAGGGTACTGTACCCAGGCTAAAAGGCTGTCATTCTATGAGACAGACATTCTTTGCTGGAATTTAATTCTCAGAAAATTAATGGCATTTATCTGAGAGTTGATATTGCTAATTATCAGCATTAACATGGTTAGTTCTTTCTGTTCCTGATTTCTGCTCTTAACAAAAATCCAGAGAGAAACGTATTTAAGACCTGGTGCAATGGTTGTATTTATCATACTCTACTGTGAATCATTTCAACCCAAGTGTCACAAATAGAGGGGATTATTATTTACTTTTCTGACAGCGAAAACCACTTTTGATGGATTGAGAATCCCCATCAGGGCACAGCATTTGCTCTTGATTGAAGCAGGGAAATTCTGCAGACAGCTTTTTGCCTGTCTTCAAACCTTTCACCAGTTGAATAACCCCCGGGGTTTAATAGCTGGTAAGACATCTGTAGGCAAAAGTAAGAGAAATGAGTTGATCAAGGAATAGCATTGTGTTTCCAACATGTAGCAAAATGAGTGCCTCTTCACCATCTGTTATTTGTGCAAGCATTTTATTATGTAAATGTCCATACACACTGCATTCGAAACAAAGGAAAATGACTTCCACTACAGTATGCTGATACTGCCAGGCTCCTGTGTATGCCCTGAAAAAGAAAAAAAAGTGGCAGACAGAAAGTCTTGGGTTCATCTAGTCCCTTCCAAAGAAATAGAAAAGATTCAGTAGGTAGGATTTTGTTTCCTACTTCTCATTAGCACATATAGAGTGTAGTAGCTGGAGACGTATAAAACATTGAACACTAAGCTAAATTCAGTGGACTCAGATTAAAGGTAAGAGGCCCAAACAAACAGATCGTCCTATATTTTTGCTTCATGATGGGCTTGGTGCATGTTTCAGACATTAGGGCATGAAAATGGTGCTGTCCAATCCATTTAAATTTGGGACTCTGTCCTTGAAAATGAAAAGGGGCCGTCAGTGGGCCCAAACCTGCAAGGTGCTGAGCACCACAAAACTCTCAGCACCCACTGACTTAATTGAGAGCCAAAGGTAACACAGTACCTTGTAGGATTGGGTCCTTTAATTGTCTCCAACACAAAGAGCATTGCTGTGGGGTAAGTGTGGGGAGGCGAGATGACATTATACTCCACATCCTGGTTCAAAAATGTCATTAAATTACCAATTTAAATTGAAATGTAATTATCGTAGCTGGCATATTTTTGGCAGCTGTGATTAAAAAATCCCTTAGCTACACTGTACCAAGGGAAAGCCCGGAGGAGTTCTGACACTGCTTCTTAATCAAAATCTGCAGAGACACAAAAGCTTTCAGCTAATCTATGCCAAGCTATCTTGGACAGCATGGCATTGCCTGGAGCACCCTTCTGGTGGCATTTGAAACACCTGGTGCCCTTAGAAAAAAAAATACGAGTCTATAATTTTTCCTATTCTGTTTGTACCAATCTATCTACCAAGGGTGGCTGCTGCACTGATAGGAGCATAATATGAATGTATGCCAAAAAAACCCAGCCCTAATACTTTCAGTAATTTGTTCAGTCTATAGCACCCAGGTGGTTATCTGCATGAACACACTTCCTCATTGTGTATTTCACGTGGCTTAAATATAATTAAACTATCATTGCATTCATTGATTTAGCGTAAATCTTAATTTGATAATTGGAAAAAGTGTACATTCTAAGTGTGGAAGATTAATTGATATTTCAAGTGCACTTGAACAGAAGTAATTGAAGTCAATGCCAGACTTGACCAATTTGATGATTTAAAGGGGGTTGGTTACTTACTTTGTGGTATTTATACAATTTCTTACAGTTGGATCTATCCGTTTTTCCTGACCTAATTATGATTAAGTGTTGAACTTTACCAATAGCCAACTGCTGCTGCTATATTGATTAACTTGTTTTTATTAATATATGAAATTTTGTAGTTGGAACATATTTTATGTTAGAGCAGTAAATAGCTAGAGAAATCTGGACATTAAAATATCCAATAACCACAATTCAATGGATACTCCTCTTTTGATCATCCCATAACTTGCTATCTCCTTAAGGATACTTCTGAGCAAAGCATATTCCTTTATTTCTGGAAATAGGTAATGGTGTGGATCATAGGCACTGACTTACTCAGATCCCAGAGGGTGCTCGATGCCCCAGGCCCCATCCCCACTCCACCCCCTCCTCCAAGCCCCCACACTCGTCCCACAGCTTCCGGCCCCCTGCTCTGCCCCCACCCTGACTCTTCCTGCCCCCAATCTTCCCCTCACCCCCAGCGCCTCCTGCACACCACTGAACAGCTGATCCATGGTGGGTAAGAGGCTCTGGGGTATAGGCGCCACCTCCATGGGTGCTCTGGGACTGGAGCACCCATGGGGAAAAAATGGTGGGTACTGAGCACCCACTGGCAATCCCCCTCTCAGCATCACTCCCTCCCCCCAGCGCCACCTGCCAGCTGGTGTGCCACAGAGATCAGCGCCTGCCCCTCCCTCCCTGTGCCTATCATCTGCTGCAGATCAGCTGTTTCATGGCATCAGGAGGAGCTGAGGTAGAGAGGGGAGGAGCAAGGGCACAGTGTGCTATGGGGAGGGAGCTGAACTGGGTAGGGAAGAGGGAGGGTGGGGGCAGGGGCAGAGCAGAGGTGGGAAGAAGCAGGGCAGGGGTGGGATCTTGGGGGAAGGGGTGGAGTGGGGGCAGGGCCTGGGTGGAGCTGGGGGAGAGCACCCTCTGGCAGATTAGAAATGTGGGCTGCCAGTGGGCGGGAGGTGCTCTGGGGGAGAGGGAGGCACTGATCCTCAGTGTTGCCAGTGGGTGCTGAGCACCCACTATTTCTTTTCCCTGGGTGTGCCAACAAATTTGCCTGTTGTTCCACTTGGGCAGCATGATCAGAAGAGCAGACAGTCATGGTCTTAGCTCCCCATTTCAAGCAACTTGGTTTACCACAAATTGTAAGATCAGACATGCAGTTGGTAAATGCAAGTTTGTAAGTAACTGATGTTAATTTGTTCCTTCATTCTCCATTCTGTATTGTATCACATACAGTCAGAAACCACAAATAAAATATTATGAAATAAACCAAGATCAAATTATAAACTCTCTCTCACCCATTCAACCTATCAGGACTGACAATTCATGCACCCTCTATCTCCTTCCACACCCACCCTTTTCTCAAAAGTCTGGGAGAACAGATAGGTCTTGGAGCATGCCCTGAAGGTCAAAAGATTTTGGCTGTATTTAATATGTGTAGGAAAGGGAAAAGGAGCGGGAAAGGAAGGGAGTAAAATACACAACACATTCTTTTGCACAAAAACTTGTTTCCACAATGTCTAACTATTTATCTGTACTCATTACAGGACTGAAGCTCTATGAAATGCCTGATTTTTAAAAAACTGAGTATTCTTGAGTGAGCACCGATATTTTCATGAGTATGCATATATGGGATCAAGGGTAAAGCTATTAATTTTTTTCTAATCTAGAATTCACAAATGTTTTCACACAGATTTATATATGAAGAAGCTGAATCCTAGCTTTAAGTGCAAAACTCAAACCACTCTTATCTATGGATAGGCTTGACAGAATTTGATTTTTATTTTTTCATCATTTTGACAAATAGTTTATTTATAATCATCTTTTTTTATTTTTTTATCAATTTGCATTGTCAGTTGTGAAAAACTATGGATTTTTAATTTATTTTATTAATTTTAATTTTTTATAGTTGTGGGAAATTGGGGGGGGTCAGATAATGCGGAGGGTCAAAAAATAATTCTTTAATGATAGTAGATGCTGAGATTCAAAATAATTACAGCTTTATAACTGTTAGTGTTAAAACATAATTTGTCACCATCACATATCAAAATATACAAAGAAAGTATCTTTATATCAAACTAATAAGTTATCAAGCAGCATTTTTCTTACTTTGCATATCTTTAAATTTTGACTATTATTGATGGAAGTATTTTTTCATTGGTTTATGGGTGTATGACGGAACAGAAGCTTACCAACATTTTAAGCAGTTCCTCCAGCAGCACACCTATGGCCATGCAGTAATAGTGCAATCAGACCAAACCCCTATGGACAATCATGTCATGCATTTGTAAATGGATTGTTAAAACAAGTTTAAAAGAGTGCATCAAAGAATGTGAGGGACTTTTTATACACTATAAGAATTTTAAACTGGGCATTTCAGCAGAGTATTGATGGAGAAACTACAGCTTGAGTCAGCAAGCATGCAAAGTTGGCCAAGGGACTCACTGCAGAGGGGCACACAGAAAGTGACATGCAGAGGTAAGTTGCTTACTGGAACAAACCAGATGGTATTCAGTCTATGTCCCAAGATGGCTGCACCAACAGCTATGGCTTACAAACCTGGTATTATAAGATTTTTTTTTCCTACAAAGAGACTGGAACACCTAGAACTGGAAAGACAATATAAAACCATTAACTATGCTAGCGACATGAGCAGTGTTTCACAATCTTAGTTATCAACAGTCATTTGTGTGGTTTCAAAGCTATTTTACAATTGGAGCCTGTTACAAAACAAGGACACACACTAACTCTGTAACAGTCTTGAAAGCACATAAACAAGCACATACATTTCCTTACTACTTAGGTACCTACTTTCAGGAAATGGTCAATTGATTTGGTTCATCACCCAAGAGAGAATCTGTTCATTACTTATCACCAGATCTTTGCTCAGCTGTCAGCTTTCAGTTCAGCTATTGTTCACAGGGCCGGCTCCAGGCACCAGACGAGAAAGCACATGCCTGGGGCGGCACATTGTAAGAGGCGGCATTCTGGCCAATCTTGGGGCAGCCAGCCCAGGCCTGAAGGGGCACGGACCCCGACCCACGGGGGGCAGGAACTAGTGATCCCTGCTGCTCATCGTGCCGCCGGGCTTCCCAGGATGTGCCACTCCCTGCAGCCTGCACCGGCCTCTGCCTCCCACGCCGCTCTGAACCCGGCCCGGCCGAGCCACCTTTAAAGGAGTGGCTGAGCCAGCACCTCCTGCAGCCCCCGGGCACTGTAAGGAGGGAGAGTTCTGTGGCGGCCCGGCGGGCAGCGGAGGCAGGGAGGGAGGGTTCTGCGGCCCCAGCAGGCAGCGGTGGCAGGGACGGTTCTGCGGCGGCCCGGCAGGTACCGGAAGGAGGGAGGA